AAACCAAGTACATTAAAATTTAAAGGAAAGCTCTTAAAGTTGTTTTATATAAACAAAAGAAATTATATACAATTAAGCTGTATTTGTGGTTGTTGTTGTTGTTATTATTATTATTATGTGGTTTAAATTTGTATTATATTTATATCTTTTATCAGATTTGAAAGTTGATTTATTATGATGTAAGTATTATTAATAGTATTATAGTTATTTAAATTTGTATATGTCTTTATAAAAATTATAATGTCAGATTTGAGCTTTTGGAATAAAATATTTATGGAAGTAAGTTTATATTATTAGTAGTAGTATTAGGTATTTAAATGTATATTTACATACAACAATTTTATTATAAAGGTCAGATTTGTAAGTATTGTTAGTTTAAATTTGTATTTGTCTTATATAAACAAAGATCAAATCTGACATCTATAATTTTTATGTGTGTGTGTGTGTGTGTGTGTGTATAATTTTCATGTATATATTTCTGTTCTTAATAAACTATTTGTGGTAGTAAGATTATATGTAATTTCAATTTGTTTATATATTCCTTTTTATATTCCTTTGTATTATATAAACGCTGGATTTAAGCTTTTTTTTAATAAAACCTATTAGCAAGTATAATGTTATTTTAGTAATTTTTATGTTTATATATTTCCTTTTATTATTGCACGTATATTTATATTTGACTGTATATCTATTATGACTATCATTAGTCATATTTGAGTTTTTGGAATAAACCGTATTTGTGAAAGTACGTTTTATTTTTTCAATTTTACAAAAATTAGTTCTTTTGTAATAAGGTAAAATAGGTAGAAATGTTGACTTTTCTGTCATTTAAGTAAAAATAAGTTGAAAGGTGAAAAACTGGTAAAAAGTGTAGCCTACAAGTAATTTCCCCTTTTTTTCCCCTTAATTTTTTCACTTTGTGTGTTTGGTGCAATGCTTTCCATAAAAATAAGTAACAATAACTGTCAAGCAGTTTCAGGAGAGAAAACTGCTCTTTCTCAAGCAATTTCCACTTTAGCATGTTTTTTTTAAGCATTGAATACATACATTTATATATATAGAGTCTAATATTTTTTTGTTATATATATAAATGGCATAATTTAGAGCTGAATATTGTCTAGTACCACGAAAACTCCTCAAAACACAGAATATTTAAAAACTATATATAAAAATTATTGAAACAAAATATAGTACATTAATTTAATTAATAAAAAAAAACTATGACCTCTATGTGAGGTAACTTATACCAGAGGGTTAACACAAGAATTTAAGATCATCCAAAACCGCTAATCTGCGACCCTTGTTCATGTCGGTCTCGAGAACAAAAGAATAGTCATGTGTGCGTGGCACAAAGCGGCAACACTTTTGCAATAGTTGTACATGTAAACGCCTATGCTGCAACACTTGTGGATGTCTCCACTACACGTGAGCGCCCCGCACATCTCGAAGGGCCTTTTATTTCATATTAATCACGCTGCATGTCCGTGTGAGTTCATTCACACATCCATGTGTGTGTTTAGATGGCATGGCTGCGTGGCGCACGCACGCACGCACGCAACTGCTGGCCTTTTTAAGAACTGTCTTTTCGTGACTGAATCATAAAGAGGACAGTTGGAGTTTAAATGAATAAGGGAGCAGAGGAGAGAGAGAAAGAAAACGAGAGTGAGAGGGAGGGACTCGATGTGGCCATACAGGCTGCGGAGTGTTTATTTATTTGTGCTGGCTCCCCTTTTTCTTTCTTTCTTATTATTTGTCAACTGATTTTCCAAAATGAGATTAAAAGTTGGATTCATCCTTCGAAGTTTACTGGTCATTGGCACGTTTTTGGGTCTGGTTTTGCTTTGGTCTTCCCTGACACCGAAGGCAGTCGACGATAGCCCGTTTGCTGGTGCACTGGTAAAGTACAGCTGTAACGTTCTTGAGTTATTTTGAAATCTGAGTGTTTTCGTTGTGCTGTTAATTTCATCCTATGTTAGTATTCAGCAGGGTCGGCTAGCATGATGATTAGCATGCTAACTGCTGCGGTTGTCATGGAGATGAGCAGCGAGAACTGCCCGATGAATGAAAACAGACACAGACGTTTATATTTATCCTGTGTTTTCATTCAAATGAACTAAAACACGCAGATATGGCTGTAAACTGCTAGCACTGAGAGCTAAATGTCGCTGTCTACATCCTCATAAGTGTCAAATTCAGCGACAACCCGGAAGGTCGTGACTGTAGTTACTGGTTCTCTATTTGAGACACGTATCATTTATGTAAAATCACATAAAAAGCAGCTGTTTTCAATTAAAATGTTTATTTCCTGTGATCCTTCCAGGTGATTTGCAGTATCAGTACTGATTATGGACTAAAGGGGTCTTCGAGGTTGAATTGGGGGGGGGTCGATATGCTTGCAGACTGAGTTAAAGGGCGATTATCAGCTCGACAGAAACGAGTGCGACACACTTCACTGCTTTCACAAGAGATTGTATAGAAATGCAAGTGTGAGCGCACTGACACGTGGCACTTGACAGCTTTCTGTCAATGGCTGTAACAGCTGTCTGGTTTACCTTGGCTTGTCGTTCTGGCATTGAAGTTAACGTTAGATTTATTTGAACACTGCTTTTGAACAGAGCATGCATTGTTTGTACGGAGTCTCTTCTTTGTTTACTCGCTTCGCTTTAGGTTGTGTTTTGCATAATGGGTTCTTATGTAAATGTTTACTTGAAATTTATTGTATCAGTCTTTGCATATGGCCTCTTAACCTTGTAAAGCTGACATGAAATAATAGTCAGAATCTATAGTTTATAAATAAAGCAGTTTATTTAACCTTTATACAACATAACAAAACGACATCTAAAAAAAGTTTACATTTGTATTTTTTGTTCATAGGCTATTTGATGCATCAGGCTCATATAGCATAATATAGTAAGAATATGAAGCTCATACTTGAGGAGGGTTAAAAAAAAACACCTTAACTTTGGAGACTCAAACTGAGCAAAAATATGCAATTTGGTGCAGTTGCGTTCATATGGCCACAATTTAATGTGATATTTAGCTTTTCATAACAGTATAGCAGGCAGAATGTATGTAGTAGATTGTTTACAAAACAGCAGTTTTGATTGTGTTGATAATTAGGAGATTCTTGTATTAAATATGGTTTATAGGGTTATATAAGCCTATTTATCGTATTATATATATATAAATATATATATATATATATAGGTTTTTAGGGTTATAGGTTTATATATGTATGTATGTGTGTGTGTGTGTGTGTGTGTGTATATATGTTTTTAGGGTTAATGTATAATAAAAATCTAAGCTATGTAACACTACCACACAAACACCACCACTTTGTCTCATATATTTGTCTCTTTTCATAGGCAGGAAGAGATGCAGGTAAACTCTTGCAGCCCAATCCTCACAATAATGACATGGCTGACCAGTTCAAGCCAGTCGTACCTTGGCCCCACGTCGAAGGAGTTGAGGTCGATCTGGAGTCTATCCGCCAGAAAAATGGTGACAAGCCAAACCCTGCATTCAAAGCCCAGAACCAGCAGAATGTCATCCAGAAGCAATACATCACCTTTAAGCCTCACACCAATGTGTTTAATGAACCTGTGTTGAAGAAAGGAATTCTGGGCAACTTTGAGTCTAAAGAACCTGAGCCTCAGGGGGTCCAGGGCGGACCGGGAGAGGGCAGCAAACAGTTCGTACTGGGACCGGAGTACAAAGATTCTGTTCAGGCCAGCATCAAGGAATTCGGCTTTAATATGGTAGCCAGCGACATGATCTCTCTGGATCGAACCATCGGCGACTTACGGCATGAAGAGTGAGTATGAGGACGCAGGCCATTCTGATTTGCGTATGTATTTGGGTGTGTGTAAGGAGGAGAATGTGGGTGTGGTGGTAAATTATTGTTTTTGGACATTTTTCGCATTGTTTTTAAAGGCTTTTTGCCTCGTGAGAAATTAAACGAATGATCCTCTCTTGTTTTAGCATGTGTTTGACTTCAGTTTCTACTTAAAAAAACTATTTACTTGCTCAGGCTACACACACTATAGACAGTCAGGTTTGGCATGTTGGTTTTTCCAAGTTATATTTGTGATCACACGCAGAAAGATGAAAATGATAAGGACACACCTTTTCAAACAAGCTATTTCAATGGCATAGTAGATGACGTATCGCTTCCTTTTTTAGCCACGTCATTTCTCCTTTTTTCAGTTCACACTTACAAAAAATACCTATTCATTTTCCTCATGGTACCATCATAATATCATGATTTTTGTGATGTAACACCATGGGACATGGAAGTACCTTGGCGAATATCAAAGTACCTTCTGATAGAAAAAGTGTACTGTGCTGCAGTACATTAAGGGATGTATCTTATACCCTTTACACTCAGAGGACAGTTAGTACTGAAAAGATATTGTTGCTGTACTCTATTACTAATGTTCGAGACGTTAAATAGGATCGGCATTATGCCCACAATTCAGCCACTGAAATGTTGTTTGGCCACGTCACAGCTGAATGATAAGCTGCAGTCTCTCTCTTTAACTCCCCTCAAGCTGGAAAGCTGGATTATCTCCCTGAGACTGCTTTATTAATTCATACAGCTTCAGAAGTGACCTGAAGCTTTAATAACAGGTCTAGCTTCACGTTTGGCCCCTGTAGGGCATCCAGTTTAGACACAGACTTGTTGCTTAATAGGATTTCATTTGCGGCATAATTATAAAATGTTCGCATTTCACACTTGTTATACATTGAGTTGATAGTAAAAACAACATGCAGCGGTTTTACCATTAGCAGTTTAATCATTACTGCAGTTTTATGGTGCTGTAGTCAGTGCTGTTCCTTTTGCAGAGAGTCTGAAAGGTGGGGATAGTTCACCTGAAAAAGAAACTGTCATAATTTACTCATGTCATTCTAAAACTATGATTTACGTTCTTCTGTGGAAATTAAGATTTTTTTGAGAAATGTGTTTGATTGTACAGTGGAAGTCAATGGTAAACCAAAACTGTTATGTTACCAGCATTCTTCAAAATATCTTCTTTTATGTTACACAACCATGCAGGTTTGGAATGACATGAGGCTGTGTAAATGATGACATGATATTCTTTTTTGGGTGAACTATACCTTTCATGAAAATTGTATTGAACTTGACCAGCATACTTTCTTAAATTAATATAAATCTTGAAAATGCTTTTATCAACATACATACATACATACGTACATACTAATTCAAGGTATGCACTTTTATCAGTATGTCTCTTCCCTGGGAATTGAACTAATGGCTGGAGTTGCTAGTACCATGTTGTGCCCTTTGAGCTATATAATCCTAAATATAACTCAATTAATTCACTCAGCTGTGTTGTAATGTCACTGCTACATGTTTTGACGCATACTCGCTAGAACTCAATTCCTACTGGGGAAATCAAACCCTTTTCTAGTAGAGAAGTTTGGATAGTGTCTGGATCCAAGTCAGGGCTGAAACAATGGACCCTGCTGTTCTTTGGTACAGGCAGGGTGTAAAGGTGTTCAACAGCTTATGAACTTGCAGTATTGCACTAAATGTTACTGGGAACTGAACATCCTGCACTGATCTTTATTGGCATTGTCATCATTGGCTGGTAAATGGCCTGTTCAAACTGATCAGGTGCGTGACCTTTTAGAGCGCAACAGAGTTCTTTGGTTTGATTTACCTTTCTCAGACTTAATTATGATGATTTAGGCCATAACATGATTACGTTAGGGCATTTGTATTGGTTGAATTTCCTTTTGAGATACTGATTTGTTGGTGAGTGTACACAGTGATACCAACTTTTGTCTGAAGATGTCAGTGTTTTGTCTGAAGTGAGGTTTTGCTTCAGTTTACAATTTACTCTTGCCTTCCTTATAAGACCAACACGCTGAAGCATGTTAACAGTGAATCATTTTGTCGTTTTAAATCTGATAGCTTTGTTTGCTGGCGCATCCGGGTTTTTTAGAGGCAATTACTTCGGCCTTTGTGAAAATGACATCGCTCATTGCGACATGAAAGGAAACAGACAAGGAAAAATATTCATCCATATATTTCATGCATTTAGAGCCCTCCAAATAATCAATATCATATATAACATATTCTAGCCTGTAAAAAAAATGTCAGAATACACTGCTACCTTTGAATGGACGTCAATTTGAGATTTGCTTTTTGATTTGAGGAAAATAAGGTCAGTGGTTAACATTACTTAAGAGATCCTAACTCTAACCTTTGTTTTGAATTTCAAAGCCAGCTTGCAAAATGAAGACTGAAACCACCTCAAGGATGTGGGTGATTCTGACAACATTTGTAGTTCTGCTTATGGTAACTTCTTAGCAACTTAAGTTATTAAAATTCACATTTGAAGTATGTGAGATTTATTTTCCAGAGCAAAACATGAAAGTCTCTTCAAGTAATTTCTTCAAGACCATATTTTACACACAAATCAAAAACTGGTATTCAAATAACCCAATAGAAATTCTCTAGTGAACACATGATGAATTAGCCCTCTGAGTTGGCCTTCAAATTGACATCACGACCGAACATTCTGTGCTAAATTTAGCTAAAACAAGTAAGTAAATAGCATCCGTCACTGTAGTTTCAAAGAACAGTTAGCATTAGCACTAAGATGGTGACAGCTTGTTTATGAGTAGTGCAGCAACCCCAATCTCCAGTGAGACTGAAAGTCATGGGCGTGAGTTGCTCTTCCAGTTGAGTGGCTTTACTGTGCCATGTAAGACAAGTTAGGCCTTATGACTTGTGTTACATGGGGCTTAACTCTGATGCTAAAAGAAGCTAAACTGCCATAAGAAAAAAGTTTTGCTCTGCCAGTATGTTGCAGACAGGAATCATTATTTTTTAATGTTTTTTTGGAGGGAAATGTTGTGTTTGTTACACCATATAGGTTAATGAGTTTAATCTAGCCCATATCACATGCATAGGCTTGGCTTAGGCAGGTCTATGTCCTATTTACTTTAGGCATCAAGAGTTTCCTCATGCATACATTTTCTATTTTCTAAGCTGCTTAAGCGTTTACTTTAAAACTGATGTTTGCACCATATAAGGGATTTGTACATAAACTAAACCCTAGTGCAAATAACTCACTAGGAGCCTACAAACAAAGCCAAAATTGTTTTTATTATTATGCTTTTTTTTTGTCAAGTAGGCCTATCATTGTATCGTTTTTTTCAACTACCTCTATATTTCTACTATAAGAACCTAACATTTTTTATTTCATTTGTTTTTGTTTAATAAGATTTGAGTTTGTGCTATTCATTCTGGCCCTACACACAACTATCACTTATCTACTGAAAGTGAATGAAACTGGATGAAGAAACTTTAACTTCGAGCTTCAGTAGAGAATGAGGAAGTGTGTTTGGGCATTGCTCTCCCCTTATTCAGAGGAAACAGTTGCTGTTTCCTGTCTCACAAATTACTTCCACAGGATGGAGGTGGATGCAAATGTGTAAGAATCTACCACTAATGCATATACAGTCAGTGTGTGCAAGTGCACAACATGAAATCAACTCCACAACAACATTCGCTTCCAAAATAGTGTGCTTTATAACTATGTGTATTTGTCTGTAGGTGTAAATACTGGCACTATGATGAAAACCTCCTCACCTCCAGCGTGGTCATTGTCTTCCATAATGAGGGCTGGTCCACACTGATGAGGACAGTGCACAGTGTCATCAAAAGAACCCCAAGGAAATACCTGGCTGAGATCGTCATGATTGATGACTTCAGTAACAAAGGTAGTGTGAACATTGTTTTAATTTCTTCATTAAATACTCTACATAGCACATGTGTGTACTCTGTGCTTTGCATATTATTATTTTTTAATTCAGCACAGGTACTGGCATTATTTTGTGCAAAAGAAAAAAAAATATCAAAGTCATATTTACAATGAAAACATGGAAAAGAAAGATGCATTGATGCCAGTGTCTCGGGGAATAGCTAACTACATTACAACTTAACGTTCTTGTGTAGTGTGAGAGTAACTCAGCTGCTTTCAAATCAGTATAGATATTTCAATAACTGGAAGTAGTGTTGCTGTTTTTTAAGTCCCTTGCACATTTTATTGTGTTGCAACAGACGAGTAAAAAGAAGCAATAATCAAACACTCTTTCCTGTCCTCCTTATCAAAAACCATTAGGAAGTCTGAATCAAAGTAAATTGGTTGTCTTGTTCATTTGGTAATTTCAAAGAAATTATTTAAAACAGTTTCCCAATTCATTTAAGTGAAGTGTTCATAACTGTTTTCTTCTTCGTTATACACATTGCGTTAGAGAGTTTTCTAATTTTATTGTATTTAGTGTGAATTAATCTGTAAAGTACAAAGTAAATTAAATTATGTGATGCCCATTTCTGATGCTGATTCTCATTGAATTAAAGTTGTGAAGAAATATAAGTAGAGATGTACATCCGAGTGAAACGGATTATTGAAAAAATGTAGGGCAGGAACTTGTTGATTGGATGGAGGCAAATCTACTGAATACAAGCTTGGGGTCGATTATGAGAAAGGGGTGTGGTTTAAGCAAACAAAATATTCAGGGAAGTCAGGCATACATCACCATAGAGCAGTCTTGTTTCACTGGAAGATTGAATTTGGACATTTTATTAAGAATTATAGGGTTAAAAAAATTAAAGGAAACTTATGCACAGATGAATTCTTCACAATAAAATCAAAAACATTCCTAATTTTAATGTTGAGAAACTGTAGTACTTCAAAATAACTGGAAAAGCTTAATGTCTGTCCCTATTTGAGATCATTCTCTAAAATATGAATACAGCATTTTTATTTGGCTTTTTGATGACCGTCAGTTCTCTAAATACTGATTTACATGTTCTGGCTATTTTGGATTGTCACTGTCTTTCAGCAGTTACTGGTTTTTCAGGTTTAAGAAAGTGAAGCATGGTTTTAGTTTTGATACCCCTTCTCTAGAGAGTCTACTCTGCACTCCTAAGTGAAAGAGATATAACGTTGCCACAACCTGTAGGCGGTCTGCCTGAAGACTAATGCTGAGCGCTTGTTCATTAATATGAGGCAAGCAGACTGTAACTGAATGGAGATCATTACTCTTTAAGAGATCGCTCACAGGGGAACTATGAATGAATGCAGTGCTGCGACTTGGCCGATAAGAATCAATAAAGGGCGTATAGGCTCAGAATGTTTCATGCATTTAGTAATAAAAGTCAGTAAAACTTTGTTCAGGCCGCACACAGTTTCGATTTGTTTCTGACTGTCTGCACTTTTTTGCAAGTGGTCAGAATGGATCCACTTGTTGTGGTATAATTAATGTATGGTATATCTACGCTGGTTGCTATAGTAATGATGTAGGTGTGAGCAATATGCCAATAACTTCCTTTTACAACTGAGTAGCAAGCTATAATTAAGATGTGCAGTCAGAAAGCTGGAAATTTTGACTCTACACGTTATATTGCTTATGGCATATTGCCATGGTGCTTATGAGGTACACAACTTATATATATAAGTTGTTTGTTTGTGTTCTCTCGTTAGTTCATCTTAAAGAGAGGCTGGAGGAGTACATAAAACAGTGGAATGGGTTGGTCAAACTGTTCCGCAATGAAAAGAGAGAGGGTCTGATCCAGGCCAGGAGCATAGGAGCCCGTAAAGCCACTCTGGGACAGGTTTGGGCCCAATAATCAGCATAATTTTAAATGGGTCTACATAAATGTGATTTGTTTGTCACACTGTGCTTCTGTCCTCAGGTGCTGATCTACCTGGATGCTCATTGTGAAGTTGGGGTGAACTGGTACGCCCCACTGGTGGCCCCCATTTCAAAAGACCGGTATGATTTAAGCTCTAGGATGATTTTGTGCCCGCTGAAAGAGACTTAGTTTAAAATGCAAATGCTGGGCTATAGAAGTGTTCTTTCCTATTCATGTTGATTTCATATTTATGTACAACATTAAATACATACATTCAATTTTATAAAAAAAAAATTTAAGTGAGAGGTTTCAACTTAATGACTCCAAAAAGGTCATGTGATGTAACAAAAAAATTAATTGTAATATTTTCCTTGCACCTTGAATACAGGTGAGTGTGCACAAAAAAAATTGTTAACAAGTTTTTTAATATAAATATCATTACATTTTTGTGGAGTTGCACCACACAACATTACATACAATCTGAACACTTTTATTGTCATAAAAAGGTCCAATTCGATATTTTAAGAGACTTTTAAGAGTGTCTGCAGGGGTCTCCTCTATGAAATAATCGTGTTTTATGTTTGTGCATGTTGATTGGACCATATGACTAGTTTTTTGGACAGGTTATTCAAATATTCATATAAAATATAATTTATTTTTTTTAATTTTCTTTCTAATGTACTACCCAGTTATTTTTTATTTTCTTTTTTAAATCTTATCCTAAATGTATGTTGTGTTAATGTTGCAGAACGGTCTGCACAGTACCGTTGATAGATTACGTAGACGGCAATGATTATACCATAGAGCCACAGCAGGGTGGGGATGAGGACGGTCTGGCGCGAGGCGCCTGGGACTGGAGCCTCCTGTGGAAAAGGGTCCCTCTCAGCAGCAGGGAGAAGGCTAAGAGAAAGCATAAAACAGAGCCTTATCGGTAAACTTCCACCCTCCAATAAGCATGATCATTAAAACCATTCTGTCTCTCTCTTGTTTTGTCTCCCCATCCCCTTGTGTGTGTGTGTGTGTGTGTGTGTATGTATGTATGTCCATGTTTGCATGCATGGACCTCCCCCTTGCCTCTCCTCCATCCTCTGTGGCCATGTTCAGAACGGTGTGCACAGTGCCTCTTATAGACTCTATTAATGGCAAAAACCTGTTTTCCAAAAAAAAAAAAAAAAAAAAATCGAAATGCATTTCAGTTTTTTACTGCCAGTCTGAACAAAGCCTGGTCGCTTAATGTTGTAAAATACTGTACTGTATGTGTGTGAAATGTAAGGTGGAGACATTCCTGACAGGAAAATATGTGTGTCAGGTCTCCTGCGATGGCTGGAGGACTCTTTGCAATAGAGAGAGAGTTCTTCTTCGAGCTGGGCCTCTATGATCCAGGCCTTCAGATCTGGGGAGGAGAAAACTTTGAGATCTCCTACAAGGTATTTTTACTTTAAATTGGTTTTTACTTTACTTTAAATTGGTTTTTACTTTACTTTAAATTGGTTTTTACTTTACTTTAAATTGGTTTTTACTTTACTTTAAATTGGTTTTTACTTTACTTTAAATTGGTTTTTACTTTACTTTAAATTGGTTTTTACTTTACTTTAAATTGGTTTTTACTTTACTTTAAATTGGTTTTTACTTTACTTTAAATTGGTTTTTACTTTACTTTAAATTGGTTTTTACTTTACTTTAAATTGGTTTTTACTTTACTTTAAATTGGTTTTTACTTTACTTTAAATTGGTTTTTACTTTACTTTAAATTGGTTTTTACTTTACTTTAAATTGGTTGTGGTCTCTCAGCTGAAAATTGACTAGATTACTAGATTTTTTGTCTTTCACCAAAGTTTGCATACAAGGTAATTCTGTGTTTGCACGGTTATAATGATCTTTTTCCAGGGCAACACTTGACTGCGCAACATTTTTCTTACATGGCTCTGCATGTGTTCAGTCTTACCAGTTGACTCTAGTAGGATAATACAATAATTTTTACTCAAATCAACACTTCATGCCCTTATATTGATTTAAGTAATCTACAGTCTTTATCACAAGATAAATGGTTAATGTTGCCATAAATATAGCCATTGTTGCTGATGTTGCGTTAAAACCTAAATAAACAAATGATCACAAAATGAATTTGTTCAGGGCAATATTTCTATATTAATTGCACAGAGCAACATATTTATCCAAATTCGGCAGTTTATTTGTGCGTGAACACTTTCTGAATCCCTGCCATGTGTGTATGTCCCGTGTAGATATGGCAGTGTGGTGGGCAGCTTCTGTTCGTGCCATGTTCACGGGTGGGGCACATCTACCGTCTGCAGGGCTGGCAGGGAAACCCACCTCCTGCTCATGTAGGCTCATCCCCCACACTTAAGGTCAGTTCAGCTCTTTTTTTTTCTATCACATTTTTATGAATCTGAAAAAAAGCTGGGTCACACTTATACTTTACACTAAATCCAGTCTGTAACCTTCACTCTTCTTTTTGGCTACGTGTAGAACTATGTGCGGGTGGTGGAGGTGTGGTGGGATGAGTATAAAGACTATTTCTACGCCAGTCGGCCTGAGACTCTGACGCTGGCCTACGGAGACATCAGCAGCTTGAAGAAGTTCAGAGAGGAACATCGCTGCAAGAGCTTCAAGTGGTTCATGGAAGAGATTGCCTATGACATCCCTCTACATTACCCACTGCCTCCAAAGAATGTGGAATGGGGAGAGGTGCATATATAATCAATAGAAAGAAAAACACAGTTGAAACTGGTTTAAAGATATTGGCATTTGTCATCATTCAGTCATTTTCTTTCAATAGATTCGTGGGTATGAGACCAGCTACTGCATCGACAGCATGGGCCACACCAATGGTGGCAATGTCGAAATTGGGCCTTGTCATAGAATGGGTGGGAATCAGGTAAAGGACAATGATTTAGTAGCAGTACTTTGCTTTTCACAGTTTTTATAGCGCATGCTTTTCTCCAGCTCTTTAGAATTAATGAAGCAAACCAGCTCATGCAGTACGACCAGTGCCTGACAAAGGGAGGAGACGGATCTGCTGTCATCATAACACACTGCAACTTAAACGAGCACACAGAGTGGAAATACTTTAAGGTATGTCACAGGATGTATCGAGCCTCTTTTGGCCTTGGTGCCTAATCAATAAAACTAAATTTTTTATAGCAAAGGTGACACTTTACAATAAGTTTCAGTAGTCTAACTCTAGGTTATGTAATAGCTAGTGCTGGTTAAAGATGGTTAAACGTGTATTAGTATCGGTCAAATTCTAAGTTAATATACTTGGAATATATATATTAATAGTTCAGGAGTTTGGCATCTAAGATTTTATTTAATGTTTTTGAAAGGAGTCTCTTATGCTCTCCAAGGCTATATTTATTTAATGAAAAATACAGTAAAAACAGCAATATTGTGAAATATTACTATAAATTAAAATGTTTTCTTTTTGAATATATTTTAAAATGTAATTTACTCCTGTGATGGCAAAGTGGAATTTTCAGCAACCTTTGCTTCAGTCTTCAGTGTCACATGATCGTTCAGAAATCATTCTAATATGCTGCTCATGAAACATGTCTTATTATTATCAACATTGAAAACAGTTGTGCTACTTCATATTTGCCTGAAAACCATGATACTGTGTTTAAAAAAATATATAAAATTTGGTGAATAGAAAGTTAAGAAGAAAGGCATTTATTTGAAATAGAATATTTTTGGTAACAATGTAAAAGTCTTTACTGTGTGTGCTTAAAGGCACACTGTGTAACTTTTAGCACTCTAGTGGTTAATAATAAACAAAACTGCATGCATCTCGTTGAAGAACATTGTAGATGGAGCTACTTCTCTGTTTATGGTTATGAGAAGTCATGCAGGTACTGGGCTACTCTGCAGCGGTTGTCGTCCTGACAGGTCTAAAGTCGTCATAATATTATATTTTAGGCATACCGTAAGTGTAGTGATTCAGGATAAGACAGAAACACGGTATGGAAGATGGAATCATGATTTACTTACTCATTATATACATTTTGTACTTTATAACAAAAAAAAGTTACATAGTCTTACCTTTAACCTTTTTTTACATAAAGTTACCTTTAATGAATAAAAGTATTATTTTCTTAAAAAAAACAAATTTTTATTGACCCCAAACCTTTGGACAATAGTAAAATGTAAAAACATAATATCCTTTAGTTAACAAATTGTTAACCAACATGAAAAAACAATGAACAATAGTCTATAAATGTAAGCAAAATTAATACAGTATTAGTAATAAATACTGTAAGTATAGTTTTCTGTTAGTTTATGATGCCTAATTTAAGAACTTCATTGTAAAGTGTTGGCAAACTTTACTCTGTACCTTGCTGTATCGATTCTTCAGTGAACTTTTCCAATGCTTCCGATTTCTCATAGGATCTACATCGATTCACACATATACCTACAGGGAAATGCTTGGATCGCTCTGATGTCTTGCACAAAGTTTATATAGCTGACTGTGACAACAGTAAGAGCTCACAGAAGTGGGAGATGAACAACATTGTGGCAGTGTGAGAGCCATGCTCAAATGTGCTTCAAGGATAAACACTTGACTACAGCAACAGGTTTTACCAGTATACATGTGACTAGTTTTAGTCATAACCCGAATAACTCTGAACTCTGTCTTCAATGGAGGGGAAAAAAAGTATATGATCAATGTTTACATCGGTTCATCCCCAGTGCCCATCGCATGGGTTTTTCTTTGGAATCTGTGGATCGGGGGAGGTCTACCTAACAGAATGTTTTTCACACAATGTGTGCTGAGATGAATTATCTAATACCACTTTTGTTGCTGCTCCATTATAAAAAAACAGGTTGTCCGTCAAGTACTGGGATTCATATCTTTTTTTTAACACTGGACCTTCATCATGTTTGAGATGACAACCTGCCACTTGAACTATTTTCGTCTTTGGCACATTTTTTTGCCATATACTATGGGTAAAGAATGGGAATGGAGGAAAAAAGGGAAATGGGGACATAGGGTCAACAATGAAAAAAATATGATACATTTATTTTTATCTACTGCATAAATGTTTGCTTGGTTGGGGGAATAGATGTTTACTTTTATGTGAAAATCAGCGATTGATTATAATACTATTCATGGCCAAAAATCATTTCGAGCAATTGGAGCAAATGTATGTTTCAAGGGCAAGAATGATTGCAATGTGTACATTTTTGTACAATGTAAATATGATTATTTCTAAATTAACATTTTGAGATATGGTGGGCTTCCCAATGAAGGTGTAAATATCTAAGTTATAATGGCTGTTTTCTCAAGAAAATAAATGGAACATTTTTACCAGTCTGCTGTATTAAAGTGCTGTTTTTAGCAGGTTAAATGATAATTCAACCATTTCGATGATCATGAGGATTAAGTTAGAACTTTCCACAAATAGGGTACCCCTTAGTATCCTTTAGGCATAAATCACATCTTTCCTGTAGGAAAAATTGTGTTAGATAAAATATCTAATATAATACCGAACCATGAAAAGTAGGTCACTTTAATAGTTTAATGCTGATGCAGAAGCCATGATGTTGTTTCTTGACTAGTTGTTCCAAATTGTATCCAAACGAGTTGCAAAGCTAAAATTAAGAAGCCAAACCGGTTAGAATTAATTGGTCAACATTTTGTTTTCGGAGTTCCTGAAATAAAGAACCACCTCCCGTTATTGATGAAAAAATGTCATACTATTTTGGACTCTATTCTTGGAAAGTGCCTACTAAAGCAGAAATGATCCCAAGCATTTGAATAATTACAACTGTTTGTGTGCTGGTGAGGTTGTTCAAGGCAGTAGACTAAGCTTGTGGAGAAGCAGCTGTGCAGCAGTCTTAGTGATACAGGTGAGCACGTCATATGATATATAGTACATCTTACTGCATAGAACATACCCAACCTATATATATAGGACCACTTATCACATGACCAAGCTAAAGGACATCTCAGCCGAACATAAATCATGCATGTACTTTAGCATAACTGGTTACAAAGGAGGTTGCATGTGCATTTATGCCACTTATTTTCCAGATCAAGTCATCCACTGGAGATCAGCATTTCCGTCGATGAGTCAACCAAGTGACAAAATATGGTCCAAAAATAAACAAGTTTAAGATGACGGTTACACCCAATCACGAGAAACTAAGCCTAACTGAAAAAATAGCAAGTTAAGTGTATTAGAAGCACAAACCTCTGCTTGTAAAACTAGGCATACATACAGAACAGCTTTGTTATAAAACAGCTAAAGAGGAACGTGAACTAAAAGGTTTTTATTTTAAAAGCCAAGTGTCATAGTCAGCCTAGCCCATTAATAGCTTTTGTATTTCAATAATGTCAGTTACTCAATCAGCACTAGCTGAAATTCTGCAAAATTCTTTAATAAGTCAAAATTGCACACAGTGAAAAGGGGAATTGGTCATAATATACAAAATTTAATAAGAAAAGAAATTCAGTCTACACATCTTCAAAGCTCATTTAAAAAAAACTGAGACACTACACAAATTCAAACTGTTCCTTATTTGTCTTAAAATGGCAGTAGAAATAATAACAGGGAAACCAAAGCAACCACAGCTATCAAGACAAAAAGCAGTGCTTAAAAAAAAAAAAAAAAAAAATCCCAGTTAAATTTACAAAACAGCACATGACCTCAATATGTATTCATTTATACACATTTCTGTACATGTATTGAAAAAAAAAAAAATGCTAAAAAATGCATTCACATTGTTTTGCAAACAACTCGGCTCAAGTTTTCCCTGAGTTTAATCGTCATCGTCGTCATCATCATCATCCTCATCCTCTTCTTCAACATCCTCCTCATCCTCATCATCGTCATCGTCCACTTCTGCCTTCTTTCCTACTGGCCGGCCAGGTCCACCCTTCTTGCCACCATCTGCTTTGGCGCGATATGCAGCAACATCCTGGTTGGAAATTTGTGTTAATATGAGCAAAACCGCAAATTGTTATTGGAAGTACCTGAAATTGGGCCACGCTTTACCTTTTCATATTTCTCCTTGAGCTTCATGGCCTTCTGCTCATATGGAGCCTTTTCCTTTGGTGAAAGCTTGGACCACATCACCCCAAGCTTCTTTGCAATATCACCAATAGAGATGCCAGGGTTGTCGTTCTTCACTTTTGGGCGATGGTCAGAGCAGAAGACGAAGAAAGCAGATCTGATGGTATAGATAGAATTATTATTATTATTTTTTTAAAGTTACTCAAGTCAAAACAGCAGAAATCTCATGGGTCTACTTGTGCACTACTCACGGTGGTCTCTTAGGAGCATTTGGATCCTTCTGCTTTTTCCCTCCCTTTGCACCTTTAGGAGGCATGTAGTTTTTCATCTCCCGGTCATAGCGGACCTTGTCGGTTTTGGCCATTTCCTCAAACTTGACCTTCTCCTTTGAGGACACGGTCTGAAAAAACACGACTATGATTAGGTTCTGCCAGGCGCAGCGTGTGGCTCTTTATCCGCCCGCCCTACATTTGCCTCAGTCCCTTGAGTAACAGATGCATAGTGTAATTCTGCCCCACCCCCTCCTTAACAACAACCCCCCCCCCCGGAAAAACATTGCAGCCTTTCTGTTCAACTCACCTTCCATCTTTCAGAGCACTTCTTGGAGAACTCCGCAAAGTCCACCTTAGTCCCTGGGCTTTTCTTCTTATGTTCCTCCCGGCAGGTTTGCACAAAGAACGCGTAAGAGGACGTCTTTCCCCTGGGCTTGTTAGGATCTTTACCCATGGCTGTGATACGCTAAAAAGGGATAAAGAAAAAAAAAATCCCCCAAACTGTTAGAAAAAGACTCATAACGCGGCAACATGTATTTTCAGTAAAAACCCTGTCAGTCTTGCTTTGTACGCTGGTAAAGCAACGGAGAAATGATCGCTCACTAACGCTAACGTTAGTTAATCCGATCAAGTTCCTGTTTCGTTTCCACCAGATCACTCAACTAGAACAATAAGCGCCCCTCCATTTTGTTTTCCCGCCTAAACTGCAGGAAATATGCGCTAGAATGTCAGTCGAAAGCAAATGGTTTCAGGTTCTACGCGTTAAAAAGCTAAAACCCACCAAATTAGCGAGGCATACTACTTTAGAGGACTTTTAGCTGCCTCAGGCTCAGTGCGCGGGCGCTGCGCTCCATTACGACCTCAAACTCCTAGCCAGTCATGGCTGCTTACGCTCTTAACTTTACAAGACCACTAAGCTGGCAAAATCCTCGCAAATCTACGTGTTCACAAAACCAACAGAGCTACAACTAAGACGCTAGCATAATTTTTCATAACACTTAATTTAAACTGCAATAGTTAAGTTTTAGGTTTCATATAAAATTCTTAATTCGTACAAAAGAGATTAAAAACACGACCATATAACATCGTCTTTCTTAGACATGCTCGATACAAGCTCCATATAAACAAACAAAAAAACATCTTAAAACATCTATCTGAGAAATTAAGACATGCTTACCTATAATCAGCCTCAACTGCTCGACAGAACGTACGTATTCTTCTGGTAAACTGCAGGGCGCACAAACTTGATTAAATGCCCATAGACTCCACCCTCTGAGCTCTCGTCTGATTGGTTGGGATACGTTCAAATTTGAATCGGCAACGTTCTAGGCGTGATATTGAATTCCTATTGGCTGTCGGGGACCGCTGTCAAGTTTCCTCGTGAAAATTAGATCCAGATGACGACGCCTCTGATCTCGTCAGCTATTGGTTGAACTGGGGATTTAAAATAATGAGCGGTAAGTCTTTGAATCAGGAAAACGCGCCTCAGTTTTATTCTTATTTTGAAAGGACTTTATAGCAAATATGAATACATTGCACACGCAGAGAGAAAGTGTTTGAGGGTTGTTTCCATGCCAAACAAAATCACATTCAGGTTTTGTTTTGAAGTTTTAAGTGGTATGAACAATGGCGCGCCATACGGACAAAAGCTAACTGTTGATGCGAGTTTGAAGACGCCTTGGGTCTCGAGGCTGGTGCTCCTGCAGTTCGCACCTCCGTGTTGTTAAAACCATTTCATTGCTATTTTTCCCATTACTTTATACCCACGTTGTTATATGCCTTCTGCTGTACTTAAACGTTACGTGGTTTTTGTAGTTTCTCATTTCTTAAGTGTTCTTAATGTTACTATAATTTACTGCTTAAATAAAAAAATATTTTTTACGCAACTCCATTTTCAACCGAGAATACATCCTATATTGCATAATATTTTTTCTACGTGTTTGCCAATATTGCTGCCCTGTAATATACACGCATTTGGTGACGTTATTGTTGCGTTGTGATCACGTGATACTTTGACCTTTTGTGAGGGAAAGGGCGTTTTTGTTATGTTTGTTGTTGAGTACCATTGACTATTAGAAAGTATTAAAACCGTATAATGGAAGATAATGCATTGTATAGTTCACGAAAACATACGTACAACTGATATAACAAACAATCATTTCCTTCTAATTCTTAATATATGAACAAAGTTGAATCATTAAGCAACATTGCCTATAGATATTATTTTAGCTTCTGTTTTTGCTATTCTCACCAGTTTGTAAGTAAATGCTACGAATTTGTGCCAGTGTTAATATCATATATCATATCAGTGTTAATATCATATAATATATACTGGTAAAAAATCTATAGCCTGAATGCACTGTAAGCCGCTTTGGATAAAAGCGTCTGCTAAATGCATAAATTAAATTAAATAATATCATCAAACACACATACATGTAAATGTGCCAATGTGATGACAAATACATAACAATATATGCAGTTTGTTTAGCTGTTTAGACAAATCTGAAATTTGTATGGGCAGTTCAAGCCAGTTCCAGGCAATGTGTGGCTCTAAAGATTCATTGTGGAAAACACCCTCAGCTGTTCTGTTCAGACAACTGAAAGGCCAAGGGGGATGGACAACTGGAACTGAAATGTTTAGGAAGAACAAGGGCAGTAGTTGGATAGTGTTTAACAAAGAAAAGGTAACGTTTTATGAAAAAAAAAATGGTGTCGCCTATTTGTACAAACTTTATAAATATTACTAAAATTACACGAACATCTGATATCTTTGTACAAAAGTACATATTTTAGACGTTACAGTGATGGTTGACTAAATGAGGACTTCAGCATGAATTAGCATGACACTGTTACCACCTATATTTTAGCATTAAAACAACACCTCTCATTCTCCTGAATCACATCTCTCTACCTTTTGCCATTAGATTTGAATAGGTTAGGACAATAGAAGTGTAAAACAGTTCTGGAGAATTAGCCAAATGGCTCTTTAAGTACCCTGAGCACAAAAGGCATGATTGAAAGGCTGATTCAAGCGTGAACTGGTCAAATAAGAGGACTGAGTAGACCAATCTACACTGAAAATGTCAGTTGCTAGTATATTTCACAAATAATTATGACAATTAAGGCATGGCAAGTAACGCATTAAATGTGAAATTATGTTGTAGAAAGACTGAAATGGTATTTTCTTGAAAACAATGTACTCCAATAATCTTTGTTTTATTTATAGAACTTTGAACATGCCTTGAATATGTTTTCAGGTTTTGACTAGCTAAGGAAAAACTTATTTGAGAATAATAGTGAGTATTGGTGGTTGTGCTTCTATCCCAAATGTCTAGCACAACGACTAAAGCTATTGGGTTTCTGGTCTTTGTTATTCTATGTCCCTCTGTTGTTAGACTTACCTTTTTTGTTGTGGACTCATGCAGTTTTAACTTTGAAAATGTGTCATTCTTTAGACTTATGGATTTCGTGGTATAGAAAAATCTACAGGTGAAACATTGTCCCTTTCTCTCTTTTGTAACATGCCCTTCAGTTTAGATTTCTACATGAAGCATATACTGTTTGTATCTGTGGTGTGGTGCTATTAGAGTGCTCCAAGATCTGGCAAGAGCAGACATGCTGATACAAACCAAAACTATACTCTTATCGAAAATGTGAAGAGGGATAGTTAGTTTTGGTTGACTGTACAGCAAGCCAAGTAGCAGTGTCTTTTATATATTTATATATATATATATAGATATATATACACTTGAAATGTCTATACATCTGTGCCAATATTGGCAGAATATGATTCCTATGACATTCTGATTTCCCCCATGTTCTGTCTTAAACATTTTAGTACTTTTCAGATAAATGCACCCAGATATTCAAATTAAGGATTGTAATTAGTAAAAACACAACACCAAGACTTTATTGTTGTTTTTTATTATTATTTAAACATTTCACAGTTAGGGTTAGATTGTTAAATTGTATTTGCCAAATGCAAAACACTAACACAATGGCACCATTTAAAGCAGGGGTCTCCAAAACTTGGTCCTGGTGTCCTGCAAAGTTTAGCTTCAACTTGCCTCAACACACCGGCCTGGAAGTTTCTAGTATGCCTAGTAAGAGCTTGATTAGCTGCTTCAGGTGTGTTTCATTAGGGTTGGAGCTAAACTCTGCAGGACACCGGCCCTCCATGACCGAGTTTAGAAACCCCTGATTTGAAGCGTTACATTTCAAATACTGCCCCATAACAGAGGCTTTGTTTAAAACAGTGCCTCACAAAAAAACCTGTCGAAATATCGGTCTATTCTGTATAAATATCTGTCTACCACGCTGCCGAGGAAAATACAAACAAATAAAAACAACTTATGTTGATCATGTGCATATATTAATAGATTGTTCAAAATAGCTACAAAGACGCCTCTGTTCACCCACCGACCGCGGCTGACTAGATCCGGTATGCCTGTAAACTTAATTTGGCGCCCTCTTGCGAAATTACTAAAGCCTACAATGGCGAGTCTGAGCTCATAAATATTAATTAAGCAAGCCTGACCTTGCTTCGAAACCTTCCAATGGTAAAGGCGAGGTCCTGAATATTAATTACGCAGTGTTGACGTTGTAGCGCAGGTTACGGAAGTATTTTCCCCATTCGTTTTCCCATAGAGAATTTTTGTTAAAGTCTTTGTTAAAGCGTTATAAGCCATGAACCAAGCCAACTAGCTACGAGGAGAATCGCAACATTACAACAATTTTATTTGAAGCAAAAAAGTAAACGAAAATCGGACAAAAAGACAAAGGTACAAGTCTGTGTAGTTAAGGCTTTAGTGAGAGAAGGAACTACAAGCCCATGAAGCACTGCGAAATGACGGGGAAATATAAAACTATTAATGTATAGTTGAACAACTTCATTTAAAGTCGAACAAGTTAAAACACGTTCATTGCAAAATAGGCATGCACATACACACACACAGCTTTTCCCAACCTTTTTTCAGTCATGGCACCCTTTCAGATTTTTCAAAAATGTGTGGCACCTTACACAAACACTAACTGGCCCCGCAGTCTACCCGCTCTGGACTGCTACGTGAGGATGAAGCTGATGGTTCAGACACATCTTAAAGAACATTTTTAAGTACTTAGATGCCACAGCAAAACTAGTAGCCTAACTAATAAAGTTCAAACATTATATTTGATAAGTGAATAATAAAATAAGAACAAACACGCATTACAAGCACGGAAAATAGCCTACAACCGAACAAAGTTACTAATAAAATAAGGTAGTATTCAGGTACAGAAATGTAATAATTACATGAGCTTTCACTCAGATGATTAAACTTGGCAACTAATCCACAAATCACACACATGCCGAACCGTGGGTCCTGATCCGTACGGGTTACGGATTTTTTAACACTGCACCCCTGCTCTCGATAGTCGGCAGTGACCCCGGTTGGGAAATACTGCTCTAGCGGTCAGATCTTGTAATTACCGTGGCGTGAACAGCACACCAGTTGCGACAGTCCACGTCGCACTCGTTGACCTCCAAAAAAATGATTATGTAAATGTGTTGCATCTTCTCCGCTCCTTTAGTAATGCTATGGCAGTCACGACGTTTGAAGACCTTTTTGGTAGCATCTCAGGCGGTTAGAACCGCTGTTACTATTCCAAGCAGGAGTGTGTATATATACACATTATTTGTCAAAGGTTTGGAAAATACGATTTTAAAATAAAGTCTCCACTCAATAAGGCTGCATTTATGTGCTCACAAATACAAGAAAAACACTAATATTGTGAAATAGTATTACAGTTTAAAATAAATGGTTTCTATTGTAATATATTTTAAAATATAATTTATTCATGTGACGCAAAGCTACATTTTCAGCTGCCATTACTCCAGTCTTCAGTGTATATGCTGATTTGCTGCTCAAGAAACATTTATTATTATCAATGTTGTTTACAGTCGTGTAAACAGTTGCGTAGCCTACTTAATATTTATGCAGAATGATGCATCAATGAATCCTGAAAAACGTTTCCACAAAATATGAAACCGTACAAACTGCTTTTAACATTGAAAATAATTAAGAACCATTATGAATAACTGAGCACCAATAATAATTGAGCAGCAAGTCAGAATATTAGAATGATTTCTGAAGGACCATGTGACAGACTGGAGTAATGATGATGAAAATTCAGCTTCGCATCACAGGAATAATTTACATTTTAAACTATATTCAAATAGAAAATAGTTATTTCAAATTGTAATACTATTTCACGCACAGCATC